AAAATATCTTTTTTTACAATTTTCATTTCTCACATTTTTTTTAATGTAAATCACTCTATATTTATCTCCTTCATCATATTCTTTTCTTTTTGTCATCAACTTTCATCACTTTCATCCATTGCAATAAATTTTAGTTTATTTTTATTGGAAAGGAAAATGTTGTATGCCAATCTTTTTAAATATTTCAACTAGTTTAAATTAAATTAATATTAAAATTTAATTTAATTTAACATCAGCTTAACCAAAGTTAAATTAAATAAATTTTAAAATGAAAAATACATTGTCATCCATTTAGTTAACATTAAATTGTTTTAATTAAAAATTAATTTAAAAGTTAGTGATAAAGTAACATTGACGCAGTCAACATTACTTATAATCGGTCTTCAAAAATATTAATGATTTACCGTTACTGGCTTTAGAGTTCGACCATGTGTGATGCAAATTCGACATTATGTTTTTGCCTGTTAAAGTTAATTATTAATCGAAACTAAAAGTGTATTTTTTCATAATAATACTAAGAAGAAAAATACAATTTCGAGAACATAAATAAGTTTTAAAAAAATTATATATACCAATTTTAAAAATTATTCTAGACGTAATATGTTTTTAAATAAAAGTGACTTGATTTTCATTTTATACATTTTTTTAACCATTTTAAAATTTATAATTTAAAATTATTTTTTTTTATTATAAAAAGTTCCGATTTTGATTAAGTTCCTCTCCTTTTTTACGGTTTTCATAACATATAAATTCAAAATAAGAAATTAAGCCTGTTTAACTTAAAATATGTATAATATTTATTTAAGATTTTTTTTAACGTATTCTATATTGATATTATACAATGTAGTTTCTCAGATACTATTTAACAGGATAAATAATTTTGTATTTTCATAATTAGCTGATAAGGAATTTAGAATCTCTAAAAATATAATTATTGATTCGAAACATTAATAAATATTACGTAAATTTAGTTTCAAAAGTAAGGTCAATATTTTTCAATTAAATAGATTGTTGAGTATATATAGATTAATAAGATAGTTTTATATATAACTCTATTAATCACAAAAAAGAGTTGTGTTGAATTTTTTTCAATAAAACTATGGAACACAAACATTAATGAATAAAATTCTTAGTTTACTTTTTTAAGTCTAATGTTCATAAGGCATATTGGTCTTATGTTATTTTTTATGCAATTTATTTGATAAATAGGTTGTCTTTTTTTTTTCTTAAAGGTAAGATCTCATATGACTTAATGTATGATGTTTCTTCTACTTATCTAGACTTAAAAATATTTGGTTATTTTTGTTTTGCTTCCACTTTTTAAAATAACCAAAACAAATTTGTTTTAAAAAATAGTGTTTTTCTTGATTATAGGAATGATATGAAAAGTTACATTATGTTTGACAAAATTACTAAGGAGATTTTTATAAGTAGTAATGTTATATTTTATGAAAATATTATTGAGATACACTATATTAGAGAAAATGAAAATGTTTTACTTAATGACATTATATGTCATTAGAATCTTGTTAAAGCAAAAAGTCAGAATGACAACAATGGCCAAAATGTATAACTGAGTCAAACTGAAAATGCAGACCATCTCAACAACAACATAACAAATTCTATTGAGAGTGAAGAAAATCACAACTACAAAAGGTCAACCAAAGTTAGAAGAAATCTTGGATAACTTAATGACTACATACATTAGATTAACCGATCTTCATCAAAAAATCTATGTACAAAAAATAGTTTCAAAACTCCACATCATATGTCTAATGTTCTGTCTTATAACTCTTTATTTGAAAAACACTTGAGGTACAGCTTAGTCATATCCACTAGTAGTGAACCTCAGTTTTATGTTGAAGTCAGGACAGAATACGAATGACATAAGTTATACAAAAAAGAAATTAAAGTCTTCTTCGCAATTAAAGTTTTCATGAGTGAACAAAACACATTGACCTGAACTATCACATTGTGTGCGAGAAAATTCAAACATCTTCTTCCATTCGCTTGAATGAAACATTGACGAACATCTTCACCAAGTTCTATCGTTTTGGATTATTAAATATATTATAAGTTATCATTTAGAAGTAATAATCAGATAAATTTTTATTTTTCTCCCTTTCTTTTCTCTCTAGATGTTGTGGAAACCTTATTTAAGTTAGGAATTTCGTTTTTGCTTCTAAACAAGAACACTCAATAATCAATTATAATTTTTTTTTCTAAATCTTTTTATATTGGAAATCATGGATGTCCTTGTTGTTCCTACAAGTCTCATATGTCATACATGATAAATATATAATCAATTTTATACAACATTGATAATTTTATCATAAAAATTTACACAGTGCATATAAAAATTATTAAAAAAATTAGAAATAACAATGAGTTATTTAACTTTATTGAAAATCATCACTAAACTTTTTACTAAATGCGTGCATTTAACGGGTATAACAACAGTATAAGAAACGAAACTTTTAACATTTTAAAATTCAAAAAGCAAAAAAATGTTTTCATAAAAACTAAAATTTGATATATTTTACATAGCATAAAAATTAATTTAAATTCAAATTTAAATCATACATTGTGTTTGTTTTATTTGTGAGAAAACCAGCTGAACTCAAAGATTTCTGTAAGCAGTTTTGACTACTTGGGCCCACCCTACTTCTGCATGGGTCCACCATTTTCAATCATTCTGATCGCTGCAGACAATACCAATCAACAAAATCGAATCCACATAAAGTCAAATACAAATACAGTGAAAAACTAAATGATTCAAATTTCATATATGCATTATTTTTAATTGTTTTAGACTTAATTTCTAAATACCTGCTGCCAAGGTTACTTTTACGAAAAATAAGTTTGTAACTAGATTTCTCACAATTTTAGTTTCTAAAGCATAGTTGAACTATTTAAAGATTTTTAATATATATTTTATTGATAAAAATATTAAAAAGTAAATTTTAAATGTGTCTTAACCTTATGAAATTAATTTATAAAATGAAATTTATATTTATTTATATATTCTAAAAAAATTACTTTATTTTTAGTAGATATAAAACAACAAATTTTATTAAAATAATCTCTAATAATAATTCTAATATCATTTTAAGAAAGAGATTTTAATCCCAATTCAATTTTATCAATTCAACATATAATACAAAATATACACTCACTTATATTCTCTAAATTCAATTTATTTTCAGTTTACACATAACTTATAAAGACTAATTTCATTTCTCATACTTTACTACAAATTAATCGTTATATTTAAATATTAAAAAATTTATATGATGGTTTTTGGTTGTGAATAATGAGTGAGGTTGGAATGACGAGATGATATATACAATCCCAAAATTGTCGCACTCCACTGAGATCCTAAGCAGGACCACTTTTTCATTTTCATTTTCATTTTCATTGTTTCATTTTCATTTTCCAACCTTAATAAGAAAAAGGTGATCATGCCCAATTTATAATTACGGCTGAGAAATAAATATCTTCAACTTTAACAACTTGCAAACAAGAAACAAAAAATAAATAAATAAATAAAAACACAAACCTTCGAAATGCGAAGCTCATTATAAAATAAATAGTAGTATATGATTATGATATACTAAAAATCAACTCAATGTAATCTTATCAAGCTAAGTAGGGGACCTCATATATTTTCTTTGCAAAAGGGCATGGCGGTTGAAAATATATATGTTTTTTATTTCATTTTCTGAAGCATTTTCGTTAATTTATTTATTTATCTGTTCTTCACATAATTATCTTAAGGTGTTCATATAAATCGGTTAGGAGACAGCGTTTGATGCATGCAGTTTGATAAGTCTCATCTCAAAGTCCTTCGCTTTGTTTGCGTGTATGCATGCCATGTCAAAGACTCTGCAACTCGTTTGTTTTCTTCTGCAAATTTTCTTTTTTTTATCTTCTTTTTATTACAATTTTACAACCTGTATTATCTCTATGCTTACGTTATTTTTCATGTTTGGGATGTTCGTGTACGTACTGTACGTTATATACGTACATTTTTACATATACTTACCTTTCTTATGCGTATTCCTACTCTTACTGCACTCTACTTTCGTTTTCTTGCCATTAAATATTCCCTGTGCATGGATTTGTCTTCAACTGATATTACCTTTCTTTTTTATATGCATATGGAAAAGATACAAGAAAAACTCTAGAAAAGGAAATGAATGAAAATGCTCTATATTTTGAATTATCATTATTTATTACTCTTTGAATGAAAACTAGAAAAGAAGAAGAGCTTATATTGCAGATAATAAATCTGGAATATCATCGTATTATAATGATACTATTTATTTTAAAATATATTTTAGAAATCTTATATTACTTTTAAATTAAATTTTATATTTAGTTTAGTTTACTATTCGTGTATAATACTAAAATCAAATACTCTTAGTTATCTCAGATATATATATTCTTCAAGTTTAACCCCACCAGTTTTAAACTTTATTCTTATACATTTATATTTGCATTTATTATTATTTTTATTATTTTTGTTCTGATCTACTTTCACGTGCAGTGATTTCCTTTCAAGTTATCCCTAGGATGAAGAGAGCAGTGAAAGTTAAAAGCACTTTTAACCTAGAAAAAAAAAATTCACAGTGGTTGGTAAGTGATTGGTTGATAGCAGTAACGTTGCATCAATGGCTTCAAGCGTTATTATTGCTCACTTCGAGGGTGACACATGAAACCAACGTAACTCCAAAACGCACTGGTCCCACCAAAAGCCCGTTTCATCTATCTCTGCCGTTAAATCATGGCGACGAGCGTTAAATACGTCTCTGCCCAAACAAACAAGGCGCAGAACCGTCTCCATCCAAACCAACCAATTTCCGCCACGTCACCACCCCTCAGTCTCCACCGTCTGATCACCACACACCATTCTATGATTCAGGTCTCAAGTGGGACCCACAGGACACGCCAGAATCAACTCAACCCAAGCTCTCTATATAAATTCGTACATCCATCGTCTTCTCCTCCCTCACTTGCTCATTTGATGTTCGTCACGAGACTCACAGTGCCAGTAGTTGTTATTCTCCGAAGAAGAAGAAGAAGATGTGTGGAGGTGCAATTATTTCCGACTTCATCGGTGTCAAGCGTGACCGTAAAGTCGCCGCGGAGCAGCTGTGGTCCGAGCTAGACCCTTTCTCTGACCTCCTCGGCTTCGACATCACCACCACAACCACTTCCAAACGCCAACCACCCTTCCCCGTAATCTCAGACAAAAAGGGTTAGTTCTTACCTAATCTAAATCAAGTTCAATTTTTTACACCTACCTACCTATCGCTGCCAGTTTATCTTTTTATTCTTGTTCTAGGTTGTTCCATGTGCCTATTCTATTTCCCCCATGTTCCGACTTACCTGTCTGAATTTTTGTTACCCAGTCAATTAACTTGTTTGCTACTGTTTTGAGTGGACATAATTCAAAAAAGATCCAAGGTTTTAACTTTCTTTTTTATCTCTTTTTAATCCAAAAATGATATATAATTTTTTTCTTTTCTGTATCAACCACAAACCTATGAGTTTTTTATAGTTTATAATGTAAAGATTCTGCCTTGAGTTACTAATTTTGTTAATATCTATGGATAATACAGCATGCAATCGAAAAATAAGATATCTTTGTGTAGTGTCTATTTTTTTTATTTCGAAAAAAAAAAGTATCTGCTTGATGTTGAGTTGCCACTGATGATTTTATTTTCTGAACGATGATGAAAAGTAAGATGAAGTTATCATTGGGTGGCCTAAAAAGAGTTTTTTTTTTCTTGTTTACCTTGGGGTTTGGTTTGTGGTGGTAGATAAAGAAGTGGTGTGTGTTGATGAAGTTAGAGAGAAAATGGAGTAAAGTTGAAGCTTTTCCACCAATTTACAATAAAAAATGAGAAGACGCAAGCGTTTCTTTTGTTCACGTTTTTCCTTGCAGTTGAATGGTAATGGTAAAAAGGAAAAAGCTTATGAGTTTTTTAAAAGCAAACTTTATGACAGAAGAAAGAACGTGTCCCTAAAACAAAAACAGCCATTAACGGAAGAAGTTTGTATGGTGGGAAGTGTGGCAAGGATTAACGCATTGTTTGTCTGTACGTGGCAGTGGAATCATGTGCCAAGAAGAAGAAAAGCGTGGATGCAGGGAAGAAGAGTGAGCGTGCTCGCAAGAACGTGTACAGAGGAATCAGGCAAAGGCCATGGGGGAAATGGGCTGCAGAAATAAGGGACCCACACAAGGGTGTCCGCGTTTGGCTCGGCACCTTCCCCACCGCCGAGGAAGCCGCCAGAGCCTACGACGCCGCCGCCAAACGCATCCGTGGTGACAAGGCCAAACTCAACTTCCCCGACGACACTCCACCACCCTCCAAGAAGCGCTGCCTCAGCCCCGACCTCCCTCAACAGAGCAGCTCCTCTTCCACCGCACCACCGCCTTCCGCCGTCTCCTACAGCGGAGACAGCAGCGGAGGAGAGGAACTCGACCTCAAACAACTTGAACTCTTTCTTGGCTTAGAGAATGAGCAGCCTCTGCCCAACAATGGTGTGGAATGGGACAACGGTTACGTGATGGATGACTTGTGGATGCTCGACGACGTCGTTGTGGCCAACCGTAATCTAGTTTATTAGAGGAGAATAATAACATGTTTAGATAAACGTTTTCCTTAAAAACTTGTATTATTAGAAGAAATAATAAAAATAAAATAAACTGAGGTTTTTCTTACAAATTAAAATCGGCTTATGTGAGTTTTATTGTCCATCTTTTGAAAATTAAAATACATAAGTTGGTTTTAATTTGTGATTAAATCTCGATTTATTTTATTGTTTTCTTCTTGGGGTTTTTATAGGAAAGATTATCGAACATGTGGGGTGTTTTCTATATGTTGTATAAAACTATGTTGGTATGTTTTCTTCTAGTTTATGTTGTGTTGTCCCTTCTTCTCGCTAGCTTTGGTAGCTCGTGCCTTGGACGGTCGAATGTTTGAAAAATCAGGTCCACCGTATTAGCGGGAAGATTATCGTGTATTAATAAAGGTAAGTTAGGGCGTATTTATGATTCTAAATGTGTTTTGTTGGTGTTGTAAATAATATTAATGGCATTATTATATGGTGCTACTTTGTCGTTTTCTGCAAACCTAGTTTTTGATTGTGGTGCATGAATCTGATGTCTACTTTGTGGACCAAGTTCGATTGTCTTAACATGTATGTTTAGTTAATTATTTAAATAAAGCTACTTGTTAATAATATGTGATTAAACTATTATGCCCACTCCGTTATTAGTACTCCTTCTATTCTTTTTTGTTTTTTATCTTTTAAGGTTGTTTATGTAAGAATTAAAAAATACAATAGATTGTTCCATTCTAATAAATTATTTTCAGAATTGAGATAGACAAAGAGGAAATATAGGGTGGGAGTAACTGTTATGCCTAGTTACTGATGATTAATTATCTTGGAAATGGATTAGTTTCCTAAATTAAATATATAATTTTTTATTTATTTTTTTTCACCTTTATGTTTTATCAAACACAATTGTTAGTCATTTAATTCAAAAACATCTATTTACATAAAAAAAAAGTAAAATAGACATGCAATAAATACGAGTCTTGTTTGGAGTGCCACTTTTACTATTTCAATCATAATGTACTGAGATATTTTATTGGTGAGATTCAAATGTTCATCCAGCACGAGCAGGTTTGATTTTTGTAATTAAAAAGAGAAATTGCATTTGACAATAAATAATGTGAAATAATCAGAATTTTTGTGACATGTGCTTCCTTTATTTATTATGCATTAGCATATGTAAATGTTATTTTCCTCTGTTCCATTAAGAATTAACTTATACCTATGAAATCACTTAAAAGTTATTCCAATTTGCTAAGTTTTGTCCTCATCTACATGGATCATATTATTAATATATAGCAATTTGAAATAAAAAATTAAGATTTTGGTTAAACATGATTGCAATATTGATATTCCTCTGATAAAGAACAAACATCAACTTGTTATTAATATATAAATCGCTATGTATCTATCTTCTGACTTTGGAAATTTAACTTACATATATTGACTCTGTTTTTGTTCTTTTCAAATGCTTATTTATTTCACTTGTTGGATTCAAAATAGTTTGCTGCAATTTATACAGTTGAAAGTATTAAATTTATTACCTACAAATGTAATTTCTCTTTCACTTTAGCCATGTGTCCTTTGAATTATATTTTAAAATAAATGCTTGTGTATATGTATATCATTTTCGTATCTGCATTTAAATACAAATTTTTAATCAAATGTGTTACGTGTAAATAATAAACACAAATATTATCATTTTCCTTCTCTTATATATCCTACATTTTATTTGTATCTTCGACTATCTCTTGTGATACTTTTTTATAGCAGTTTGTATTATTGATTACTAGATAGACTTATTGATATCGTGTATAAGTGTCATATTAATTTAGTTCATATGATTTTAGCTATCATACAAAAATAAAATAATTAAATATATTATTTNTATGTATCTATCTTCTGACTTTGGAAATTTAACTTACATATATTGACTCTGTTTTTGTTCTTTTCAAATGCTTATTTATTTCACTTGTTGGATTCAAAATAGTTTGCTGCAATTTATACAGTTGAAAGTATTAAATTTATTACCTACAAATGTAATTTCTCTTTCACTTTAGCCATGTGTCCTTTGAATTATATTTTAAAATAAATGCTTGTGTATATGTATATCATTTTCGTATCTGCATTTAAATACAAATTTTTAATCAGATGTGTTACGCGTAAATAATAAACACAAATATTATCATTTTCCTTCTCTTATATATCCTACATTTTATTTGTATCTTCGACTATCTCTTGTGATACTTTTTTATAGCAGTTTGTATTATTGATTACTAGATAGACTTATTGATATCGTGTATAAGTGTCATATTAATTTAGTTCATATGATTTTAGCTATCATACAAAAATAAAATAATTAAATATATTATTTATTATGTATTTTATTGAAATTATGTCATAATAAAGAAGTAAATATAATCAAATATTTTGAATACGTACTGATCAATATTGTATATAAAATGTGGGAAGATAATTTTTTTTAATTCATTGAAAGTCTCTCTTTTTATTTTATATTGTTTTTGAAATATCATTGAAGGTAAAATGCTAAAAAAATATATATTTATTAAATTGGATCATTTTTATTGCATATTTAAATGTCATATTTATTGACAACCAATTAAATAATCATTTCATTAAAAAAAATTATATACATGGTCGTCGTGTGATAAATTAGTGAACTGCCAACTGCTCTTATGTCATCGATGAAAGATATATTGAATAAAAAACATCTCAAGACTATAAAACAGCCAAAAAAAATATTTTAGGAAAAAAATTAGTACACTATGATGAATATCTTTTTCACAGCAATTATGATAAATAGTATACGTAGGGAATGTAATATTTTATTTTATTTAAATAGTCACTTCTCAATTTGTGAACATGATATTCATTAAGTTACGTAATCCAGTTAAAATTTGGTTTTATTTTAACTATAACAATTAATAAAAAAAACTTATTTGCTGACAAAATTGATGGTTGTTTTAATAATGTAAGAATATTTAAGAATATATAACCATCCAGTGAAATGAAAAGCTACACAAAGTAACCAAAGAAAAATATAATTTCAAAGACTGCAAACATATTTAAAATTATAAAATTAGTTTGAGAATAAAATAGAAGAAACAGTAGGAGAAACTTACTAACACAAAACTATATAAGAAATAAGATTCACTTGGTAGTAAGGATAGAATGGAAAATTGAAGATCATGAGTTTAATTCCATTCATTAACACAGATCTAATTTAATCTTAATAACTAAAATTTATTGATAAAATAGAAAAAAATAAACATATCAATTGAGGGGGGAAAATATATTATTATTTTCATCATAAAATTATGTGAAAGTTTAGTATTTATAATTTTGTTTTAATTAGTGGTTTTATTTCTGTTGGATACTGGAGATTGAGAAGTTTTCAGCAACTAACATGTTAAATATTATAATACAGAATTAATATTTAAGATATTGTAAAAGAGATTAAGGAAAATGATTTTTTTTTTATACAAACAGTCTTAATAAACGCATGCAAAAATTAGCATAGTAATTAGAGCAATTATCTAACACTAAAAAGTTGACTAACTAAAAGAAGAATCAGCTGTTATACCAATAAAAAAAGATAAACCATATTTCCTAAACTGTTCTCAGTTAACAAGTGAATCAATCAAACATGAACTAAAACGCAACAATTTTCTCAATAATTAATGTATAAAATAAATATAAGAATGAGACTATTCTAATAAAATTTATTGAAAAGACGTAATTTATTATGTTAATATATATCTAAAATATTAAAGGAATTGGGAAATACGTAATAAAAGAGAGTAATATGATATAGTTTGCTTCATAATAATAGAAACATTACCAAACAACGACAATAAAAAAATATATTGGTACATTAAATAATAATAATAGATTATAGATTATTGTGATCACATGTAAAAAAAGTTATTTAGAATATTAAATAAGATTCTTATATAAGTTGCAAGTATTTTTCTTTTATCATCATAGAAATAGAACAGCTAATAAAGTCTATTATCTATGTATCAAACGTATGGTCCAACATAGATCAATAATTTATATATGGTTGAATGGTCTAACAAATACTTTTGTTTTGCTATGGTTGAAACTCACAATATTTATTGTATTTATTTTTAACTTTATTAAATTACTTTTTTAAGATATATCTTTAATCATTTCATTTCTTTTCTTTCTTTTTAATATTTTAATTTTTATTAATTAAAACGTATAACTATCAATTTTAAATATTCAATTATATAAACATTTAGTTTTTTAAATAACTTATAAAATTTTCTTTTATTCTCTCTCTGGTTTTTAGTTTTATTTTTGTTTCATTTAAAAAACCTTTGTCTGGTTACACATTTTTCATTCTTCATATTTCAAGTCCAACAATGTATGTTCTCTTTCAACATTTACATAAAATGAGAAAAGGTATGAGATTTCGATTATTTTCTCTTTTTCTAATCACCATTTTTATGCCATTTTTTATTTGATATTTTATTTTAATATTTATAATGCATATCCTTTTAATCTTAAATATCTTTGAGATCATATCATGTTTGATATTTATGTTTTATAAAAAAAGTTAATATTTAAAACATTACAATTAAATATGATTTTAATATTTTATAGAAAAAATATTGAATTAATATTTAAAACAATATATATAATTATGAGAACATCTATAATCAGAAATTCAATATTCAATTATAATATTGAAAGAAATAAAGACACAAATAAATAAAAGGAAAAAAAAAAGACATAAATAAGTAAAACATTTTATTTGAGAAACAAAGTCCAAGTCACATTCTCTTTCCTATCATCCTTAACTACAAAATAGCATAACAAAAAAAATACTTTATTTATTTTTATTTCTTTTGTGTTAAAACTTTTCAACATTCAAAAGAGGATAAGGTGGCTTCACTTAATGATCTAATAGGGTAAGTTATGTGTTAGTTTGGCTTAAGGTAAAATCGTGTAAAAGTTATTCTGGTCTTCATGTTGATATTTTGAGAGAAAGTTAAAATAAATATGTAAATAGTTTTTTTTTATAGGTGTAGACTTTTATTTATGATGAATTTATAGGATCATTTATGTTTTGAAATTTTTTGGAAAAGAATGTTTAGAGATTTTGAGAAGTAGGTGCATGCATTTTTGTAAACATAAGTAATTTAAAAATTTTATATTTTTTTTAAGAAAAATTATTATGCTAATAAATTAATTAGTTTAATATTTTTCCTTGATTTTGTTTAAGGTTTATAAAAAGTAATTTTTATTAGTCTACTCTTTCATTCATTCTCTGTGTTTATTTATTTTATTTTATTATTTTTATACGAAGAGAAATTACATATCATTAAAATATCTTCTTATTTAGGGAACTTATTTTTCGTACGATTAGATTTATTAGTCATTTTCGCTGTGTTAAAAATTGCATTATTGTTTCCCCATTCCCAGCCAACATTTTGACGATGTTTCATTATCAATAGAAAAACAATT